TGATCTATGGCGTTATTGAGAACTGGGACCTTTTAGTATAAAAGGTGAAAAATACAAATATACAAATCAAAGAAATGTAATTCCCATGTTAAACTTGAAATGGAATGAATTCTCTTTTTGTTCTTTATATTATATAGCACTTATTTCCTAACTGTGTCCCTGAAAAGGTTTAGAACAGAATCAGGGCCGCAGTTAAATGCGCCCTGGGCACCCAGATACCATTCTCCCAAAGAATGAACCAAACCTTCTGTGGAGAAATAAATGATTCCAAGTTTGGAACAGGAAGTATTCAAGATACGCATGAGATAAGACATTTTTGTTATTTCAGAAAGCAACATAGGTATTCAGTATTTCGGTGGTTATATTAAAAACCAAAAACAGTAAAAAAGAGTTCCCACTGGCCATAGAGGGGGGCATTTGAGCACCAAAAAAGAATAATTACAGTTGATTGAAACAAGATGAATATATAAAAATGTATGCACTCACTATGGTATTTAAAAGAATCATAAAAGAGAGAGAAAAAGAGGGCTTTAAAAAAGTAGAAGGAAAAAAGCTTTTAAAATAAGAAAACATACAAATTTTAATAATTATCACTGGAGATAGCTTTTGTGGCAACCCCTTACTCTGAAGAGTGGTACTAAAAAAGGAAAAATTAAGCATTCATCCTTCTTTATATGTTTTAGTTGAATTTTAGAATGACTAAATAGCCCTAATTGACAAGAAGAAGATCTTCTCTACAGAAGAATTTCATCTAATAAATGTATAAGGAATAAAAAGTAATTAGAAAATCACAATTTTGCAATCAGTAATTGGTTCAGGAACAGCCACCAATGAATGCTAAAATCAGGACTTCGGTTCTCAAAAGATGAACCCCTTTTTCAACATGGTAAGCATTGTGGACCTCCAAATATATACATACATTCCTGGGCCCTTTTCAATACCTACTGAGTCAGAAGCTCTGGGGGCAGGTCCCAGTAATCACTTGAATGAGCCCTGTAAGGGTTCCGATATATCCTGGAGCTTGAGAACTGTGCTAGCAGGACAAAGAGTGATAATCTTTAATTGAAGGTTTAGGCATTCACCCCCAAAACTCGCTGATCAATCTTAGCTCTCCTAAAAGATGGAGAACCAACTGTTATATTTCCCCTAAGTGGAAGTACCTATGACATATTCTTGGCCACCCTCCACCAAGTTAAACTTAAATCTGTTGTTTTCTTTCTATTTGAAATCCAATTTATAGGAAATAAGGGAGATAGAAGAGTAAGTTAAGCAGTAACAAGAGGAAGCAAAGAATATTCAAAATCAAATTTCTTTAACATGTTAGTGATATGGCAAAACAGGGGACTATTCCAGAATAAAAGGACACCATAAATAAAATAAGAAGTACAAAATGTGTATTCTATTTTGTGTCCTGTTTCAAATAGGCCAGCTGGGGATATTTGAATTCAGACTGTGTTATTAAATAGATGATATTAAGGAATTGTTAATTTTGTTAGATTTGATAATGATTTTGTGGTTCTGTAAGAAAATATAGTTTTTAGAGCTATATACAAAAGCATTCAGGCAAAACAAAATGATGCCAAGATTTCCTTTAGGAAATCTTGTTTTGCACTTCAAAACAAAAAAGTAGGGCCTCCCTCCTGCCACAAGGGGTTAAGTCTCAGCACTAGGAAGCTCTCAGCAGCAACGCAGCACTGCAGGGAGCTGACCCACAGGGTACTGCAGACCTCTCCAGTGTCCCTCAGCAGTGTATTTCAGCCAGTCCTCCTGTCCTGCTCCCCACTCTGGGGAATCCTCTACATACATACTCCCCATTCCCTCCACCTCTAACCTGCACCCCAGCTTTGTATGCATAAATAAATAAAATAAATCTTTTTCTTAAATGAATACAAAAGGATAAATGAAACAAGTATAGCAAAATGGTTAATAACAAATCGGGAAGAATCATTACACTATTTCCTCTACTTTCATGTCTATTTGAAACACTCGTAAAAAAGAAAATTTTAAAAGATAGCTGCAAAAATAGTTATTAAGATGTATTTATGCCTTTATTTATAACAGTATATTGTAAGTAGATGTCTACTTGCCCATACCAGTATTTCTCAAATTATTGATATTGAAAGACTAATTTTTTACATGGTCCATAAAAGAAAAATGATGCAGAAGAACAGAAAATATAGCCTTAAAAAGTTTGTCACCAAGGTTATAAATTTCACATAACAAGCAGAGCAAATGTCAGCATTAAAAAATAATAATAAGTGGTTGGAACTGTATCCATTCGTTGAAAGTACACACATAAGCAATGGGGGATTGCTGTTACATTCATAGTTTTCTTCTGTGACCACAATTAAGTTTGGATGTGAGTTATAATGCTCATTTGCATGTTAACTTGACCTTGTGCACTAACTTGAGTTTGTGTTTGGCCGTGCTTCTCTCTGGAAACGATATATGTACCTCAGCTGATTTTATTTGTAGTCATAGGTTTTTGCCTCAGTCAATTCTATTACTGATTTCTCAGCAGGTGGCCCATTTTCAGAAGCTTACCCTGCAGAAATCATAAAGAATAGGGGAGATAATAGGCTGAAGCACTTGCTGAGTTTTTCACTTAATGAATGAACAAAAGTTATTTTTAAGTAGTTTATCTCTTCATATCGGGAGCTCAGCTATTCCTCACACTGTGTTATATATTTACTGATACGTCATGACTGTGACTTTGCATAGTAATTTGAAATTCAAATATACCATGCCTTTGTTTTTTAGACAGTACCCATCCTGCCAGTCTTCAAAGTTTTTCTTTCTTCCCTCTTGGCTGTGGTCATGTTGGTTTGGACTGATTACTTCAAAAACAGTCCATTACTGTAGACTCCATTTGTGTTTCCCAAACTTATTTTGCATGTAATAGTTTGGTTTCTTTTTTCATGTCCTTGTCATTGGATCTACTAGGTTTCTTTATATGGCCAAAATCTCAAAAAATCTTTGCCACTAACCTACTTCGCTCAGCCTTTTCAACAAAAAGAACTTTCATCTATGAAAAGATTGTCATGTTTAATGTTATAGTTTAAGTATTATTCGGTGTGGAAGTTGTAGGAAGAATACCACTAGCTAGCCAGAACCAACCCCTTGCAGAAAACATTGCTGTCCCTTCGGTGAGTTCTGCCTACCCAACAGTCCAGTTCATCCTCTCAGGGATTTCCCAGCTCACCCATTGTAGAATCCTGGTTTCCTCCCATGAATGGAAAGCACATTGCCCACTGGACAGTTCACTTACACATAACCATCTTGATGATAGTTTGGACACTTTGACTGAAAATTCTACATAATTTTTCTAGCCTGATCTCTTTTTGAGAACTATGTGGGTTTGGTAAAGGCAAAGGGAAACCATGACCAAATGACCTTGGTTTGTGCTAATAGCTGAGTACCCCAGCCCCAGCTCTCCACTTACACGAAAGCTTTAACGTCAGAGATGGCAGTGCATGCCACATTTCAGTACATGATACGTGATACCCTCTATGTACTAACATTTATGTGCACTTCTAGGATATTTTGTGCTGCGTACTAAGCATTGTAAGGGCGTGCAGAAGAGAAAGTTAGGATCTCTTTCCCGTGGAATCTTAAATTTATTTTTTATATTTTAAAACACAATGTGTAGACTTAGGGCTTGTGTTGTGTGTGTGCGCATTTCTGTCTGCGTGCATGTTGGGGTGTTAATGATGCACATGCAGATAAATAAGGTGGGAACTGTGTTATAAATGGTAAAGAAAAAAGTGATGAGGACTATCTAAAGGCAAATTGGTATTTAAATAGGGTTTTGAAAAGGTAGTTAGGATTTCAGGGGGAGTCTAGTAAGGAAGTAGCTTTATATAGTAAAGAAATGCAAAGGTTCTGCTTCCAGTCAACCACTCTTAGTTGTACAAATTCGACCAGCTCACTACTCCCTGTGGCCTCCAGCTTCCTCATCTACAAAGTGGCAATTTGAGTCATAATTATCATACAGTGTTTTTAGGAAGCCTAAGTGAGATACGGTTTTCTTTGTAAACCATAAAGTGGTTTACATAAAGTTCTATGTATTAATATTAAGGATGGCATAAGCCAAAGACACGGGAATTTAAAACCAGTGAACCTTATCGCCTAGCACAGAAAATGTGTGCAGATGGCTGTGACTGTTGACTCACCCATATCATTCCCTGCATGGGAAAGTAATCTTAACTAGAAAAGCTTTTCAAGACTTATACTGAACCCCTTATGCCCTTTAAAAAAGTCACTTCAGGGGCCTTGAAGATCTTCAGATGAAACTTCTACCCATTGTAATATTTTCTTTTACAGAATTCATGTAACTTATGCAGTTTTGTTTATCTGAAGTGTGATTATTACTAATTGAAAATTTTACACGTGTAAACTTACACAGAATTAATTTTGACTTTAATAGATATTTTGTACTACAAAGACAGTAAATGTGTCTTGCAGACTATATTGTTTAGAGAACACAGCTCTCGTGGCAGTGCCTGGTTTAGAGAACAAGTCTAGGGTAGCCCAGACCCCACTGTGAAGCAGGAGCGGGTGTGAATTATTTAAGCTCCTTCCAGGGACCACCTTTTCTCATGTTATCATTGGGTCGTGGAACTACCTGAAATGAGGACTTAAAGGAAGACTAACCCACATCCAGTGAGATGTCAGAGAATCGATTCATGTTCTTTGTTTGCCATAAATATATTTAAAAGTGTGTTCAGGAAAACTATCCAAAGCATTCTTCAGCAGCATACAGAGAGTGCTCGTGTGTAAATGCACTTCGTGTTATATCATGAAAGTTAATGCCCCTTGTGCTGTCCAGCCTGGGCTCCAGTGAAATGTTTGGAATGACTTCTCTTAAGGAAAGAAAATTTGCTTAATGACTAACCCTAAGTCATTAAGAAAAGCTTTTTGAGGAGAAAAAAAGTCCTGAATACTAATAGTGGGGTTATTTTATTTTGATGAATGACTCTAAGTTCTTTCTTCTTTTACAGACTATCTTGCTAATCATGGCCGGTTAAACGAGTGTGAGGCCAGGCGCAAATTCTGGCAAATCCTGTCAGCTGTTGATTATTGTCATGAGCGGAAGGTCGTGCACCGTGACCTCAAGGCTGAAAATCTCCTGCTGGATAACAACATGAATATCAAAATAGCAGGTAATGGGGGCACAGCTGGCACTGAGAGGAGCAGATGGGAGCCATGGCGCTTGTTGGGTGTGGAAACAGATCTGTAGGCAGAGATGTGGGGCATTTGCACCCATGACGTCAGCTTTCTCCACATGTATTTCATCTACCTCCTTAGATCTCTGCGCATGAAAGTGTGAGAGACAAATTCATTACTAATAGACACAGCGGCAGAAGGACAGCTGTGAGCCCACTTCTATCCTCAGTGTGATATGCACAGGTCCTTCTGTGGGCTCTGCTGGAGCAGGCAGGCCAGTGTGATGGGGTGAAGAACACCTGGGTGCTGGTGTCATGTGTACCCTGCTGCTGGTAGCTGAAGAGAGGCAAGGGAGGAGGGGATGCAAGGAGAGTGAGAAGTGATGGCTACACAAAAGCACGTTGCCTAGGATTTTGATTTATAGCATACAAACTAAGGCTAGAGGTTATCTTGTTAGTTTTCTGCCTGTCATTTTCACAGTTTAATAAAAGCTTATTTCTTATCCATATGGTCAAAACTCTAATTCAGCAAATACCTATGTGTCTGGTGTGGAGACTAGGAATACAAATCAAAAACTCTTTTTCATCTGATCTGAGAAGTCTAGTGGGGAGATTAGAGTAATTAAAATTCACATGAAGCGTGCACATACCAAGATGTGAAAATGGACCTCTGAGTTACATGAATACTTAACGATTGACAAGTTAATAAAAACAAAAATCTTCAAACACAAAGAAACCATGCCCAAATCAGTGGCTCTTATATTGACTTTCAATAAAAGTAAAAGGCATAAAAAAGAATAATTAAAGTGCAATAGAATAGTTGCCCTAAAATAGATCTACAAAATACAATAGACGTATAGATGAAGGAGCATCAGTCTGCCTGAGGCGTCAGGGATGCTTCACAGAGAAGAAACTGACTTAAGCTTGAGGAGCTAGGAGTTTGCCAGGAAGGTGAGCAGAAGCAGGATATCGCGGCCAGACAGGGAGGGAGACTGTATCTCCCTAGGAAGGGGCTGTGCCTGGGGACACCGTAGCTCAGTGTTGGCGCTGCAGTCTGTGGGCACAGGGAGGGCACAGTGGGAGTCAGACAAAGAGCAGCATCAGAAGGGTCTGAGTATCTGAAAAGCGATTTTAGGGTTTCTTCCGTAGGTAATGGGGTATCCTGCCTATTGAAAAGTTGAGAGTGGGAATGGAATAATGCCTCTGGCAGCAGCGTAAAGATAGGTGGGAGGTGTGGGCAGCACTAAAGACAGGAAGAGCAGTAGATGCAGTGGTCCGGCTAAGAAAATGTGGCTCTGACCGGGCGGCAGCCATGGGGGTTGGAGGTGTGGGTGGGAGGAAGGTCTGTTTGGTTAGGGTTTAAAGACCATCAGGGGCATGGAGCAAAAACTTAGCAAAGTTGCAAGCAGTGTTCTAGGAGAACAGAGAGACACCCGGATGGAAGACGCTTCCAGGAGCTCGCTGGAGCGCTAGGATGGCTGCCCCCTGGGCTCGCCGAGTTTAGAGGGAAAGCAGCTGCCTTGCTTGCTGCCCTGTGGCATAAAATAAGTTTAACACCTCAGATTGTGCATTTAACTCTTATTTCTTTGTCATTTCTATTCATTTTTGTCTTGGGTATCTTGTGGAAGGTACATAACTAATTTTTACTTACTTTAATTTTAATAACTCATTTTCAATGCCATGTGTTCATGTTTCAGGGAGGGGATAAATCTCCCATTCTGTAGACGGTAGTTTTTTCCCTGATCTGAGTGCCTGAGTAGGACATAGCACTTTTCTCAATAATTTGTTGTATTCCCATTCCATGAGTACAAATTTGCATCGATAAGTCATCTTTGCTTTGAAAATACAAGCCATGGTATTTTTTCCCATATTTTCTATCTGTCACTGTGGAAGACAGAAAAAAGGGTTTTTCCCTTAATCTTCATATGACCCTTCTTCCATTTATTTTTACTTATTTTGTTCCTGTTTGCCAACTTTCCTGTTTTCCACACAGAAGTGGAATTTTAAGTTTACTTCTCCTTGAAAACATCAGTTGACCCCCCCTTAGAGAACACTCTTGATTTGGAAGTCTTATAGAAACAAGGTGTTCCTGCATCACCTTTTCATTCCTTTATCATCAAAACAAAACAGCACCTTAAAGGGCTCTGGGAGTCATTTTTAGCAGAGAAAAGTTGGAGTGTGAGTCATGCTATGGGAACTCATTTCTCAAGAGCAAATGTCAGAGCAGAACCCCAGAGGAGCTGCAAGCAGCCCATACAGAATAGCCTTTGAGACGAAATCCAAGTGTTGCCTCAACGGAACTCCTCTCCTGTAATCCCACTATACCTAGGTAAACTCAGAGTTTCTGTGTCATTATGTAACATCTAGGTGTTTGTTTTCTGCCTTTATTTTGTTTTTGACTATCTAAATTTCCCTATTTCCAAGTACTATGCTAAATACTATGTCATTAAACTTCAGTGTTCCTGTCCTTCATTTTAGTAACTGCGCAAGTGTTTCCTCACAGCTATTGGCTATGACCATTTTGGTTTTCAGTTGAGAGTAATTAGATGAATGACATTTATTTTTATTCATCTTTCCTAATCTGAAATGTTAATAGTAAATTCTTAGGTAAGGGTAAAATTATATGAATTACTTGGAGGAGATTTTCCAGAAAACACCATCATTCAAATAAAGCATCACTGGGTCCTCCCTGGTGGCGCAGCGGGTTAAAGCACAGCACTAAGAAGCTGAAGCCACTTCAGCCTGAGTTGGATCCCCACCCCGGAGGTGACCACATGGCGTGGCAGACCTCTCCTGACCCGCCCGCTGCTCCCCTCAGCAGTATACTTCATCAACTAGCCTGTTCTGCTCCCCACTCTGTCTCTGGTGATCCTCTGACTGCCCTTGCACCTCTGGCCTGTACCCCAGTTCTGTATGCATAAATAAATAAATCTTAGAAAAGAAAAAATAAATAAAGCATCACATAGAGAATGTGGAGTTGGATATTTGCCTGTTTAGTTTGCTGGAGCAAATTCTGGCTGTGCTCCTTGGTGTAACCTTGGGCTGATTATTTTACCTCACTGAGCCTAGGTTTCCATAACTACTAAACAGAATAACCTGTTCTGTCGGAATGTGGAGTGGCTAGGGATAGAAGTGGGGAGCATAAGAATATAGACTGTGGAGCTGTGCTGCCTGGGCTTGAACCTGGCTCTGGCGGACTTCTCTGTCTTCAGCTTCCTCTCCACAAAGAGGGAATGGTAGATGTTCCTATTGCACAGGTTACTGCCATGGTTAATATTTGCAAAGTACTTGGAACAGTGCCTGGTACATGCTAGTGCTGTTTTAAATGTTTGTTAAATAATTGTTAATTAACGTTCCTGACACCATGGTATTTTGTTGAATGTTTACTTGATCAAAGGTAGCTGCTATTTGATTTCAATATATAATCGAATAAATATAATATTTGATAAGTAATAAACAAATCCTCACAATTTGATAGTAATATAACCCCCATCGACCCCCCTTTTTTTTGGACTTACTAATACAGATCTCAGAAGAACAAGGAGAGTTTGTCATTTATATTCTATATTGTCTCTGCGTGGTGCAAATTTTTTGTTCTGAGAGGGACCTTCAGTGTATTTAGTAACACATGATTAGCCTGATTAACCTGCTTGAGCCCCTGAGTCACCTGTCCTTAGCCAGAGAGGCACGCCCATCATCCCTCCTCATTGCTTCTGGCAGTCTTCCTGCTTACTGGAAGACCTTGAGATAGGATCTCTCTATGTAATTGCAGCTTTTTACCCTGGAACAAAGTTTAAAAAAAAAAAAAAAAAGGTTGAGACAAAGTTTGCTTGTCAGTAACACACTTATTGAAAGACATCCACTTCTTAGCCCCCTGCCACTCTGCAGTGTAGGCGATAAAGAGGGCTTTGCCTCAGCCAAGCGCAAGGGGACTGTCTTTCCCTCCCAGCTTCCTTTGCAGTCGCAATCCATTGCCCTGAAAAAGCGAAGACAGCCACACGGACTGGGTTTTGTTTTTCCCTCTTGATCGCCTTCCTCCCCTCCACTCTGTGAGCCCAGGAAGCCCACTTTTGCTTCTTAGCTCATGGAACGGAACGCTGCCTTTGGACAAATAGCTACCTCACACTGGTCAGCAGGATCACATTTCATCTCAACCCTGGCGGGCGGTCGTGTCCTTTGACAGGTAGGGAGGGCGTGACTGATGGTTGGACGTGAGCCGGGCAGCTGGCCTTTCGCTGGCCACGGCAGAGTGTGCATTGACGTCAGTGGTGGCTCATTAGCATTCGGTTGTGCCTCGGTCCGCTGCATCTCTGCCCGCTCCCACCTCTCCTTTGTCAGCGTCATTTTCTCATCATTGTCTTCTTCACCCCATCATAATAATTACAAACGATGGGTAACTCTTCATGGCAACTGGCTATCTGAGTTCTGGTAATTTTAGAGACAAGGATAAATTTAACCCCAAAGCCATCTGTTACTCTGTAGGAGGGTTTTTGTTTTTTTTTTTTTTTAATTATAAATTAGACATTGTAGCACAATGCTGGAGATTTAAAAATTGCCTCTGTTATGTTATTTCCTAGAAATCGTTTCTTTTTTCTAATCTTAAAGGCCGGGTTAGGGCTTCTTTTGCTTCTGCCTTTAAAAATGATTTAAATAGTTTACTTTTCATTGGTAACTTCTCCTATTTAGTGTTTTGTCATCTAAATAAAAATCATGAAAGTATTTCATAATCACAGTCACTTTGCAGGCCTCACACTGACAGACTACTGATCATCTTCTCCATCTTCACTACTTCTCTCTTACTGGGTTTCCTGGAACCCACTGTGAAACTTGTTAGAAACCCAGAATTCAGGGCCCCAACCTTGGTCCACTGGACCCAAATCTGCATTATAGTAAGCTCCCCAGGTGATTTCGATGCATGCTAATGTTTGATCTATGTCACCCCAACAGATGAAACAGAATTCTCTAATGTGCTTGGTGTCCTCAAACACTAATCATCA